ACGAATGTAACTGTATTTTATACCTAAAATGTACCAATAAACTTAATGGGAAAAAAATAAATAAAAAATAAAAATTGTATCTCACATAAAAAAAGATCAGTGTATGAATAATAAACACGGGATTGAATCCCAGCTTTGCCACCTGCCTGCACTGTGGCTGTGGGATGTTCCTTAAGTGCTGGGTGACATTACCAACAGCCAACACTACCAACCCCTCAGTCTGTGTCAGCTTCTACAACATGAAATTTCATGGATTATCTTACTTACTTTTCCCTAATGCCCGATTCTCCAGAGATCTTTAGGTTTTACTGTGTTCTCCCTTTTATGTTGGAAACCACTGAGGTACAAAGCACCAAGATGACTTGCCCAAGGCTTTGAGGCTTCAGTTTCTGCACCCATAAAATGAAGAAAGTCATTGTTTCTGTCTGTGTTAGTCCAGACTTTCTTCAATTACTAGTGACAGGATTCCAAAATCCAACAAGACCAAGTGAAAGAAAGGAAGTGCTCATTTTAGACTAAGGGTGTCCTTTGACCCCCATCTCTCAGCCTCACCCTCCACTGCTTCCATTGCAGCAGACTTGCTTAAGAAGGTAGAAACCCACTCTCACGTGCTCTCTGGTATTTGTGACCTTGAAGGAAGGGGTTCCTTTCCTTCTGGGGACCAAGGTCACCCTGAGGATGACTCTGACTAGCCCGTATCATGGGGCCACCACTGTGGTACAGAAAATGAGTTTACATGTTTCAAGCTTCCACCAGGGCAAGACAGTGTCCTTCAAAAAAGTTGATAGAATGGCTCCAAGCTAACAAATGTTTGCTTACTTGTTTAATTTATTTAAGTAAGTAGTTCCAGAGTGCCTGCTATTTGCCATGTATTGGAGAAGGAAAGTGAAGCCCAAGTAGGAGGAACTCCGTTAAAGTAACACACTCCTGGCCTCTCTGACTCCTTAGTTTCTCCTCCTCAGTGAAAGTGAATGCCTTCTCTTTTCCTCCACACAATATGCCTAATAGCAGCAGGCTCAGCTGTCTTTGGCCTGAGCTAGTGTTATCGCAGGGATCTAAAATATCTCCCCAAAGGCTCATTGGCTTGGAGGCTTAATCCCCAGTGTGGCAATGTTCAGAAGTAGAGCCTAGCAACGTTACTGGATTGTGAGAGCTCTAATCTCATCAATGGACCAGGTCCGGTTGGTGGAGGTAAGTCCCTGGGGATGTGCCTTTGAAGGGTGGATCTTGTTCTGGGGGGGGGTCCTTTTTTCTTTCTTTCTTTCTTTCTTTCTTTCTTTCTTTCTTTCTTCTCTTTCTTTCTTTCTTTCTTTCTTTCTTTCTTCCTTCCTTCCTTCCTTCCTTCCCTCCCACCCCTCTCTCTTTCTTTTCTTTTCTTTTCTTTCCATACAGCGAGCAGCTTGCTTCTGCCATGACTTACCACCATGATTTTCTGCCTTACTGCAGGCCCAGAAACAATGGAGCCAGTGGACATGGAGTGAAACTGTGAGATAAAATAAACCTTTTTCCTTTAAGTGGTTATTTCAGGTGTTTCATAACCATGAAAAAAGGCTGACAAACACAATTGAGAAGTCCTTCATCTCTCAGGCCTGTGACCCACAGCAGTTGCTGCATGGTCTCAACACCATCTCCCTTGTACCTGTGGGCAGCTGTGCCTGTCTCAGCTCACAGAGCAGAGTCTGCACTCTGCATCCACAAACCGTCTCATAGGATGCAGGTGCTTATTAGATGTACTCACGAAAGGGTGGAGAGATACACTGAATATTTTTTTCTTTCCCTGGAGATTGCCATGGAAGAGTCGGGCTTTACCACAATTCAGAATATAGAAAAATAAAGCTGTTTAAACCTTTTTCTTTGATTTTGCTTCATCTACTTTATGGAGGGAGCATCAGTGTCCCAGCACACAGGAGGCCTCTGGATCAATAGCCACATGATAGTGTGTGGCTGCATCTGCCACACTCTCCTTTCCCAAGGCTACTGCACACCTATACACTACCCTCCACTACCTATACACTTCAGGCAATGACACACCTGGGCACACCATCATGGTGCCCAGGGACTTCATTCTGATCATCTACATTTTTGGCAGTACTGGGGATTGAACCTATGACCTATTCCCTGAACTACATCCTCAGATCTGTTTTTAGTTTGAGAAGGGTCTTGGTAAAGTGCCCAGGCTGGGTTTGTACTTGTGATCTTTCTACTTCAGCCTCCCAGCGGCTGGAATTACATGTGCCCACCAACACACCAGACTAACTTTTAAAAAAGAGATTTAATATAATACCACAAAGTTCACCTTTTATATGATACAGTTCAAAGGTTTTTATTATATTCACAAAATTGTACAGCCATCACCAGTATCATATTCTGGAATATGTTCTCCATCCCTAAAGGAAATCCAATATCCATTAAACATTCTTCACTTCCTTCTGTCCTCATGTCCAGTAGTATCTGGAAATCACTGTTGCATTTCCTATTTCTATGGATCTGCCTGTCCTGGACATTTCATGTCAAAGGAAGCATATATTCATCCATGGAACCTTTGGATCTGGCTACTTTCACTCAGCATAATGTTTTAAAATCTCATCCATGTTACAGTATGCATTTTAGTTCTGAATGTCATTCCATTGTTTGGATATACCACATTTTGCTTAACCATGCACATTTGGGTTGTTACTACTTTTTGGCTCTTATGAATAATGCAGCTGGGAAGATTTGTGTCCAAGTTTCTGAATGGACATATGTTTTCAGTTTCCTCATGTGTGTACCTAGGAGTGGAGTTGCTGGGTCATAGTTCTTGAGGAACCATGTTTTATGTTCCCACTAACAAGGTAGGAGGAAACCTATTTCTCACCAATATTATTGTCCATGTTTTGATTACAGCCATCCTGGTGGTCCTGGTGGACGTGACCATGCTCCTTACTTCTTTATATGTGTGGTGAACACCTCCTAGTGCAGCATTTTAGTCTTGTCTTCATTGCCTCTGTTATTGTTGAGATCCAAAATGTCTCCCAAAAGGCTCATTGTGTTGAAGACTTGGTTTCCAGCTAATGGGCTTTTAGGAAGTGATTGGGTCACGAGGGCTCTAACTTCAGCAAGCAAATTAATCCACTGATGAGTTCATTAGCCAAATGGGATATTTGGAGGTGGGGCCTTGTTAGAGAAAGTAGGTTACTAGAGGTGAGCCTTTGAACAGTATATCTTGTTCCCAGTCTCTCCCTCTCCCTCTCCCTGCAACCCTCTGCTTCCCAGCTGCTATAAGGCGATTAGCTTTCCTCTGCCAGACCCTTCCACCACGATGTTGCCTCACCTCTAATGCAGAAACAGTGGAGCCAGCTGACCAGGGACTGAAATTTCTGAAATCATGAAATAAAATCAACCTTTTCTTCCTGTTATTCTTGGATGTTTTTGCCGTAGCAATGGAAACCTAACACAACCTCCTCCACAAGCAATTCTACCCAGTGTTTGGAGGCCAGCGTGAACTTTGTCTCCTAAGAAAGTCCTCCCTAGCCTCTCCAGCCCCCTTGGATATTGCTCATCTTCATTTTTTTTCCCTAAAGGATTTGAAAGGACACATTACATGCTTGTGTTAAGGATTTGATTGCGTACTGCCTAGAATTTCTGTTATTATTTTGGGGTCCCTCTCTTTCTGTTCCTGCAACTTCACTGGCCAAATGTGGCTTCCCTTTAAGAACCAGCATCTCCTCTGACTCAAATCCTTGACTCCTTTCACCCCAGGCCAATTTGGTCATTCTTTCTCTGAACCACCACTCTGCCCCACAGTAGCATTAATATTTAGTATGACATTTGTTTTTTTTTCCCCTGTCTGTCTCTTCTGCTAGCATGTAAATTTTTCCAGGGAAGGGATTGTGCTCTATGAAATGTGGTGTATGCTTTGGCGTCAGAAACTCTGAACCCTGGCAAATCTGTAGCTTACCCCAAAGTCCTGGAGATCCTGGCAGTGAGCCTTAATCTCCTGAAGAGTTCCAGGAGCCACAGACCTGTGCAACCTAATGAATTTCCCAAGAACAGTCTTACCTGTGGGTGGACTTGGCAGTTACACATCTGCCCTTATCTCGGAGCTCCTAGAAGAGTGTGGATGCAAAATGTTTCTCTACCATCCTTCAAAATCTCTGCTTTGCCAGGAAGATTTTGTTTCAATTAAGGATCTAGGAACAAAAAGATAACTTTGAAGTTATCTTTTTAAAAATTACTTATATTTGTACATTTTAGGTATACAATATAATGACATTCATCATTGAAAATTTGTACCTTTACATAATCTATCTTGGTTCTTATTTTTCCCCCCATTCCTCTGCCCTCCCTTCAACCCCTCCATCCTTCCCTATTTACAAAGACTTTGTTTCCATTTTTTCATTTTCTCATATTAATTTCATTCCCTTCTTTCCTTTCCCCACCCCCCCTCTTCCCCTTCCCCTTTGACCCTTTTCTTCCTATTTCACATTATCTATTATACCTTTTAGTCCTTATTTACACTTTCAGTTTCTCACACTAGAGAAACTATTCAGTATTT